AAGTCGAGCAGCCCGAGAAGAGGAGGAGATCAACTGGTGGGATCGTTTTACGCGAGCCTCAAGGAAGCACCATCCTACCTGCTCGCCACTCGGTTCATGAAGGAGCTGCAAAGGACAAAGGCAAAGCAATAGTTCACGACGATCCTAAGAAGAGCAAGAAGTCTGGAGCAACCTCAAGCTCCTTCACTACTTAGCTCTGAGGTACCAACAACCATCCCTTGTATATACCACGCATGTTTCCTTTGTTTTTGCTGTTTTGAGCTTCTCTAAACTTTGTTTGCCACCTCGACGGTGTCATTCAAGTTTGGGGGAGTGTGTGGTGTGTTTGACATGTTTTCTTTCTTCTTATTTTCTGTTATCATCTTTTGAGTCTTGCATACATCCTAAGGCATAGAAAAGAACAAAAAATTGGTAAAATATTTTTAAAAAAAATTCATGTAGTTGCACTTGCTTTCTTAAATATTCTAGGATTGACTCTAGGAATTTTAAAAAATTCATTTAGGTTGCTGCATTTGCATAGGGAGTAAATGATAAACACTTGTTAATTTGTCAATGTTTGAATTGTTTTCAATGCCTAAGTTGTTTGTTGTTTGATTGCATCTAGTGAGTTTGAAGTTAAGGCTGCACCATACCTCGATTACTTGCAATTGATACTCTAGTCTTATGTTGAAACTCGCTTTGATTTGATGCCAACTCCATTTTATTTGAACCTTAATCTTGACATTGAAATATCTTGTTTGTGCATTGAAAGCGATTGCATGGCTTACCCTTATACATACTTGGATTATCTTCTTCCTTTCTTACCACTCTTGTTAATCCAAGTAGCTGATCCTCATCATAATGGGACAGTTAACCACGCCTTAAACCTAACCTTCTTTCAACCTTAAACACTTTCGCGTGAGTAGTGAGGCCTTTCATTGCATTATTTTCAATCATATCTTAGCAAAAAGTGTTAGGAATAGGGCTGGCAAGGAGAAGCTCCCTTGTAGACACCAGCTCGCATTTTGAGCTTGGTATTAGGTTAGGAGTTTGGGGAAAGGGTCGTTTGGGTGGTTTAAGAGTTTCTTGTTTTTATGTTTTCAAAAGAAAGAAAGAAGTGGGGTTAGTAGCAAAGGGGGAACAAGTAAATTGTGGTTAAGTAAAATAGAAAAGAATGCTCTAAGTGGTTTATTAGCAAGGCGCCAGCAACAACAAAGTTAAGAAGAGGTCAACCGAAAGGAAAAATCTGACCAAGCTATCCACCAAAGGTGATGAAAGCGGCGCCAAACAATCAACAATGAAGAGCAAGGTTCAAAAAGAAGAAGTCAACCACACGGCAAAGCCAAGAGAAGTTTCCCCCATTGTGAAGAGTGAAAATGATCAAGCTTTGGGAAAGGGTAGATTTAGGGGTTAATCTTGGGTTTTAGAAGTTCTAGGATCATCTTGGGTAAAATGGGTAGAAGGGAGCTTTAACTTGCATGCATAGGTGTCCCTTTACCTTTAGCATTTTGCCAAAGATAGAATTCTTTCATTGAGAGATCCCTTGATTTTTAAAAACCCTTCTTAAAACGAGATCATTTTCATCTTGTGACCTTACCCCTTTGACCAAATGCTTTCGCTTGATGTGCACAACTTGATCCATTGGTTAACGCTTAATGAATGTTAAGGAGTTGGTTGATTTGAATGCATGTGTAGACTAAGCTAGGGTTCATTGCTTGCTTTGATGGGTATGGCTAAGGTTTTTAAAGTAGAATAACCTCTTTGCATCTTAGAACTTATAACTTGGGCGTTGAATCGATTTCTCCATTGACAACTTTCGTTTTGAGCTTCCACTTTCAAACCTCTCTTCCTTCTTGAATTTTGTTTGCTTGAGGGCAAGCAAAAGGCAAGTTTGGGGGAGTTGATATTACCATATATTCTGCATATTTTGCATGCATTTAGAGTAGTTTTTCATGCATTCATCTTGCATTATAGGCTAGATTGTTCCATTTGTTGCATTTTAGGTTCTAGGTCCCTTTGCATCCGCATTTTGCATATTTCTTGCATATATGCATAGTTATCAGGTTGTTTGGAGCACTATGGAGTTGCGGAGGCTATGTGGACGTGAGGAGGTTCAAAGTGAAGCTCGTGGACACTTGGAGAACTTAGCTCGGCATACGAAGTACCCGAGATCGAGTAGCGGATCGAGCAAGGCAGGTCGATCTAGATGAGATCGACCAGAAGATCGAGTGCACCAAGTCGATTCAAGAGGAAGGATCGAGACCGAGATCGATCTGGAGTACAGACGTAAATGACGCCATGCAGAACGAGAGCCAGATCGAGACCAAGACTCGATCATCCAAAGATCGAGATGTAGATCAAGGAAGATACTCGATCCCTCTAACCAGATCGACCAGAAGATCGAGCGGAGCAAGGCGATTCCTGAAGACGATCGAGCACATTGGTCGATCTCAAGATCGATCCTTGATGAGCTTATCCGTCCAGCTGTCCTTGGCGGCTAGCGAAGGGGGGACCAGCTAACGGTTTAGCCATTTTTGGTAAAAGCAGCCTTCACCTTTATCTTATCTTCATTCTGTCTTTTCTTTGATCTCTCTAAGTTAGGCGATTCTCCATTGTAGAACAGCATAAGCTTTTTCAGTTTTTGAACCTTTGAATCTTTTAATATCAAGTAAGTTTTTCTTTAATCTATCGTTAATCATGCATAACTTATTATTTATTGCTTTCGATTCGGTCTTAAACATGTGTAGTGAGTAGTCGTTTTGGGTTTTGGGGTTGAGGTGATTCAAAAGGGTTGAAAGGATTCAAGGCTTTGTGTTTTCTTGTTCTTCATGCCTTCTCTTCTAGGATCTTGGGATCTTAAAGCTTAGAGAGCCTTGAAAAAGGTCTCTATGAACCAAAGGCTGTCTTACCTTGACAGGATTCAGATGTCCTGGAAAACCAGATCCTAGAGGCTAATCTTTCCTTTCCCACATGCAATGGTTGTAAAGGGGATTAGTTAGGTCATTGTTTGAAATCTGTCTTTCTTGCTCTTCGATCTCTTTTTCCACCAAACGCCATGGGTTTGGAGAAGAGATTGAGGAAGTGAACCATACCACATGCCATGGATGGTTCTTGTTTTGTTTTCAAGGCTTAGAGAAACCTCTTAAAAGAGTAGATCTAAATGTTTTCAACCAAAGCTTGAATCTTTGATACCCTTGAATATGACCCTCGACCATAAACCCTCTCTTTTAGTGTTTTAAACCTCTGTTCATCATTCGCTTGTCATTTTGCTTGCATCCTGTTCATCAAAAGTCATTTCGCTTCAAGTTGCTTTTTTAGATCGATCCATTCTGCTCGATCCAGTGCTCGATCCTGTGGTCGATTCACTGGTCGATTTTTAGTTTCTAGTAGCTTTGCATTTTTCATCTTTTACTTGTTCCCCGTGGTAGTTAACCCTCTTCCAGGGATTTTAAAATTGGTTTGCAATGCATTAGATCGCTGTATTTAGTTTTGTTAGATTTTACCAATCATTTGTCATATTGCTTAGATTCACTAGATCCTTGCATTCTCATTGCTCTTCCTGCTCCCTAGGTGTGGATTGATACCTCTCGCTTTACTACAACTATGTATTGCTTGAGTTTTGATAACCTCCCTGCTTGCACCTGTGTAAAAACCTGTTATCAATACTTCCTGTTGAAACATCAGATTCAATCTCCACTGACCAACCAAGCAAAGAATCTGAAATGTGTTGTTAGTACTCGCCGATCCCCATTGTAAACCACGATTGACGAGGATGAGATCAATTTGTCCGCCCAGCGTCTTCCTTCCTTGAACCCCTCTCAGGATTGCCTCTTTGCTCCCGTTAAACCTTTGATGCTTCCCCGCTGGATCTAAGATTACTCTTCCAGAAGAACTGTCACAAAACGATAAATCCCAGATCCGAAGCCCTGTAGCTCCAATACCAGAAAGGGGCTCATTTCCAGCGCCCCTCTCGAGGTTCCCATTAATGTCCTTCTTATGATCCAAAACATTGTTCTGCTCACCTCCATATCCCATTCTGTTCCCACTCTATAAAATTGAGATTGTAATGAGAAACCATCTTCAAAGATCTCCTGTAATTTGTCTAAAAAACTCGTTGAAACCATGATTCTCCTTCTGATTGTCCTCTATACAATTCTAAATCGTCATTTCCGTTGCCTTCTGTTTGAATGAGAAAGCGTTACATAATATTTTTAATTAATTTGAAAATCTTGATACATGTTTAAATTAATTTGGAAATATTCAAAAAAAAATTAAATATATATTTGTAAAATAATAAAGTTTACTTTTAAACTAAATCTTTATATTTTTAATTTAAAAATACTTCCAAAATCTGTAGATTTAATTAATTTAAAAATACTTCTAAAATACGTCCAAAATCTGTTTAATTTAAAAATACTTCCAAAATACTTCCAAAATCTATAAATAATTTAAAAATACTTCCAAAAATTTCATGATTTTTAATATTATATTCAATGTAGATTTGATATAATATTTAAAAATCATGAAATCAATAACACATACTTGTCCAGAATTTGTTTTAAATCACCGATCAAATAAATTACATTGCTTGAGTTATATTTGTTCGGTGACTTCTAGTCCTACATCTCAATCTCATCGACGAAAGAAACCATCGGTTTTGGTCGAACCGAGCTAAACCAAATTAATTTTACGCTGAACCGCGATTGGGTCTCATTTGCTAACCGTCATGACTCACACTCAATGTTTTTGTTTTCTTTGAATATTCCTTCCCTCTGTCTTCTCGTTTTCGTAATCCTTCCTCACAAACAATGTTTTGTTTTCTTTAGCAGAAGTTGGGGAATTTGGGGGCTGAATCTCTTCAGGCACGTCATGGACTTCCGCAATAGAAGGGTTCAATTTCTTCTCGTCGCCATCGGAATCGTTGCTCTCAGTATCACCGGTACTTGAGAAATTTTTCGATCTCTTTCCTTCTTTGACCCTAGTTTTCTATTTGGTTTCTCGATATTCGTATGAAATCAATCATGGGTTTTGGATCTTTACATTTAGTTTAGTAGCAAATGTCTCGCCTTTTTCTGGAATGTGATCCTGGAAGTTGCTAAAGTGATGTCGAGATCTCGATTTGGGCTCTAAAGTTTGTACTTATTTCTGCACCTCCTTTGTTAAAATCCAGAAATTTCTGTGTTTTGATGACTTTATACTATTTTCTTGATCTGGGTTTTAGGAAACAAGAAATTTAATTCTTCGTTTGATAAATATTGTTATGTAAATTTTGAGACTTTAGATTATATTTGGCGTTAGCTCAATGTTCCCGCTAATTAACATTCAGTTATTCTGATTTAGGAGCTAATAAGTGAGTTGTGTTATTATGGTTTGATCTTCAAAATTTCACAATGCCATTTTCCTCATCTTGTGCTTAAATCTCGGAACCATATAGTTCCTTGTTAACAATACTATGGTTTTAACTCTTAATGTAAATCTTGGGACTTTAGATTATATTTGGCGTTTAATCAACATATAGTTAATCTGACGAATGAACTAAGAAGGGGAACTAAGAAGTGTGTTCTGTTATTATTGTTTGATCTTCAAAGTTCACAATGTTGTTAACAATATGGTTTAAATCTTGCTGCTTAAATCTCGAAAACCATAGTTGTTAACAATACTATGGTTTTAACTTTGTTATGTAAATTTTTGGACTTTAGATTATAGTTGGGTTTTTAATCAACATTCAGTTAATCTGATCGATGGACTAAGAAGTGTGTTCTGTTACTATTCTTTGATCATCAAATTTCACAATAGTTGTTAACAATGCTATGGCTTAAATCTCGGAACCATTGTTGTTAACAATACTATGGTTTAAACTTCTTTTTTTTTTAACTATGTTGCTTGTGTATTCCTCGTCGAAATTAGTTAATGAGTGTTTGTGATGTTTGAATATAAGTTTTCTTGTTTCATATGTTGAACAGCGGAAAAATGTCGAGAACTTGTTGGAGAAGAAGCCGCATCGAAGAGTGGACAGTTTACATTCTTGAACTGCTTTGATATGAGTTCAGGAACCGTAGCTTGTGCGGTTAAAGAAGGCGTGAAGCTGTATTTCTACAACATAAGATCAATCCACGTAGAGAAAGCCCGTAACATCGCAATCGAGAAAGCGTTGCACGAGGCGTTGGTGAAAGGCATGGCTGCTAATGAAGCAGCCAGAGACGCTCAGAACGCGGGTGCAAGAGCGGCTAAACTTGCGACAAGGCAAGCGAAAAGGATCATAGGACCGATAGTTGCGTCCGGGTGGGATTTCTTTGAAGCTCTTTACTTCGGAGGGACGTTAACCGAAGGGTTCTTGCGTGGTTCTGGAACTTTGGTTGGTGCTTATGCAGGAGGGTATGTAGGAGAGCAGAGATTTGGTAGATTTGGTTATCTTGTTGGGAGTCATTTGGGGAATTGGATTGGTGCTAGGGTTGGTTTAATGGTTTATGATGTTGTGAATGGTGTAAACTTCTTTCTTGAGACTTATCAATCTGGAGAAAGTTTTGAGGAGCAGTCTACTTATACAACTTCCGAGGATCAGTCTTCATATGAAACTTCTGAGGATCAGTCTTCGTATGAAACTTCGAGTGACGAGCTTTAGAAGTTTCATGGATTGATAGCATGCTGGATTTGTGGATTGACAATGACCCAAGAAGGTTTATACAACGCTCTAGAAGGTTCTGGAATATTTGTTTGTGAACTAAAAAGAGTTTCAATTTGTGTCAGTTTGCTGATGTATGGAATATATTTAAAAATTGATTTAGTTTGGTGTCACTGTGGTTTGATGGCAGGACTTATATATCGAAGTATCAAATGAGTTGTTTCAGGTTTTCTTGAATGTGCAAATGCATAAGCCCTCCTCCACGACATCCTCAAAAATCGACTTTGGTCGCAATATTTTCAAATGATGAGGATTTTATTGCGTTTCGTGAAATATGTATACACAATATTAGTAGCAAACATAATAATCATGAATAAAGAACCAACAAAACTGTTTAAGGATATCCTTATAAGTTATTTTGTTTTTTTGTACAAAAATTTTATTATATTTCTATGTTCAAGAATAAAGATAAAAAAAAGTTTGATTCTCCTCGAGGAAGATTCAGTTTGTCTCTATTTCTAGAAAAGAGATCATCGGTATGCAAAAGTTGAGAAAAGTCGTCTTTGCTGAATAATTTCTTCCATCAAATCTGTTTTTGCTTCTTGTAACTCATTCAATTCAGCTTTTGATCCATTTAAAAATTCGTCAAAGCAATCAGCACAGCTTTCTGTTGTTGCTCTTCCAACCTAATCCATGTTTGTCACATATATTTCCAAAATCGTCTAAAATGCTGAAAAAGATCCTTAGAACTGATTGAGATTAAACAACTTTTGCTTCCTATGGTATGCTTATTCATACAATTTTTTCACTAGCAAACATTGTTCCACAGATTGTGGCTGAAATATGCAAACATTTTTCCTGCATATCGTCTTCTAATCCAACAAAAAAATTATTTACCAAGGTTGCATAACGAATCAATATAAATTTCTCATGATAATCCATTATTCCGTTACTTGCAGGTTTTCCAATTCGGAAATAAGATCATTCTCCTCGCAAGTCATATGAAACAACTGCTCTGCCATGGCTATCAAAGTTTCAAGTGCGTGAGTGCATTGAAGTAATTTCTCTATTCGTGATCCTAGCGATTCGTCCCCTCCTATAGCCATAGCTTGTGCTCGAGTCTCCACCGCCATTGTTTCCAAGAAACATTCTTTTGTCTGATACTTTTGATATAAGCTAAATGTATCTCCAAATCATAACTCCAGAAGTTGATATTCAAAGAATTTCAATGTTCATGAAACAAAGAAATCTCAAAAGAATCCAAAACAAGAATTGATCCTCAAATATGTTACAGAGAAGAATCGAGACGAAGAAGATGAATTATTTCAACAACTTTTTGAATAAATATTGTTTCTGTAGCATCCATATCCGAGAAAATTAAAATGATCGAGGTGGACAGGACGTTGTCCGAGGGATGATCAAGGCAAAGTTTGGATATTTGCTGGGAAAAGGAGGTTAAGACTATACTCGGGTGTTTGACTGGGAAATAGTCGATGGATGGCTGAGATAGCCGAGCTGGATGGACCATATCCGAGAAAAATGTGGTCCAGTCTCTGAGAAAATGGTCCTGTCCGAGAGAAAAAGGAAAGTAACCGAGAAAATGGAGAAGTCTCTGAGGAAAAGGAAAAGTTATCGAGAGAAAAGGGCTAGGCCCGTGGGCCTTTGAGTTTGATCAAAGAAAACTTAAAGTTTCGCGATGGAAAAAAGATTTCTCGTTATTATAGTCGAGCGGTTAAGGTGATAACCGGGAAAAATAAAAGATGACCAGGAGAAATCCTACCATGACTGGGAGAAGTCGGTTTAGGCCGGGTTACCTAGGGTTTCGAGTATAAAAAGAGTGCTGGAGGGATTTTTCTAGAGAGCCGCACTATTTTGGAAGCAATAGAGCGAGAGAGAGATTGGTCGAAGGATTACTTGAGGGAATCGGAGTATCCCAGGAGTTAGCCGAGAGAAAAAGATGATATCCAGATTCCAGTCGAGTCGTAGCCGGAGTGCTCCGACCATATCCGAGAGAAGTTCGGCTGTGTCCGGGAGAAAAGGAGATTTACCCGAGAGAAATTGGAGATCATCCGGAAGAAACAAAGATGATCGGGATAAAAGAGGATATCCAGACTCCAGTCGAGTCATCGCCGGAGTTGGCCGGTTATATCCGAGGATAGTCAGCAACAAGGCAAATCTTGTCAAAGCGAAGTGACTAGGTTCGGGAGAGCCATGACCATATCCGAGAGAAGATCAGGATAAAGGATGTTATCTGAGAGAAAGGCAACGTTGCCGAGGGAAGAGCAAGTTATCCGGGAGAGAAATAGGAATGGTCGGATGTCTCGCGATGATAGTTGGGTGATGCGGATCGGTGGATCAGATCGTGACTATATTCGAGAGAAATGGTTAAACCGTGACCATATCCGGGAGAAAGCAGAGATCTCTGACAAGGAAGAAGAATAGCTGGAAGTATCGCGATGATAGCCGGGAGATGCAAGAGATCGCCGAGAGATTTGGACTGTCACCGAGAGATCGCCGAGAGATCTGGACTGTCACCGAGAGATCGCCAAGAGATCTAGACTGTCACTGAGAGAAACGTGTTCTGATTGATCTTTCACCGAGAGAAAGTCGATATTCCGTGAGATACATCAAAGGGAGCATTGTGCCGAGAAGATGTTCAGGATGAATGGTCAGCCAGGAGAGTCCATCGAGAGATTATAGAAAAGGTCAGGGAGGATCGTGACTGTGATTAATGGTGGTCGTGAGGACCGGGAATGGGATTCCGTGATGATCTGGCGAGTCCAGATATCCCTCTTCGGTACTTGGTCATGTGGGGCTGGTTGGTTGAGTGACTGGGGAACGAGGGGGTGGTGTGCTATTACTAATGTGGTGACTGAGAGCCGGGATAGTGAAGGGCGCTCATGGAGTCATGCAGACAAGATTGACTCAAGCAATGCATCCAATATCTGCAAGTGGCTAAGGTACGAACTAATCTGAGATGATATTAAGGTTTTGTGCTTAGCGAGTTAAGTTGTTAGTCGGATAGTGGGTTGGAACCCCGTAGAGGAAATAGAGAAAAAGGCAAAAGTTTCCTGACAGTCATGATGTGACCGGGTTAGTATTGTTTCGATTGCTGGTTAGGAAAATCGGGTTGGGGCTCTACAAGTTGGTATCAGGGCGTTTACGCTTCTAGGACTGGTTGTGGGTTATTGTGTGTTGGTTGTTTGTGTGCTTAGCAAGTGTTAACGAGTGCATGATATGCAATTATGAGGTGTTTACCGTGGCTAGATTGATATCTAACTAATCGCAGGGTAATCCGGATCATGTTCTAACTTGGGAGATGTGTGATTCTTGCTGAAGTAGGCATGGGTCTTAAAAAGGGATTGACCGTGGGTTAGGGTAGATGATCAAGGCCGATGGTAATACGATGTTTTACTTGCTTAAGCGTAATGTGAATGATAGCACTGCTAGAGTGAGTGAGTGACTGTATCTAGAATCATTTGATTGCTAGGTTATCTGATTTCATTGATTGCTTATGTAAGTTAGTCGAATATGCTTAGCAAGGTCATTGTGTTTCTGTAGTTGTGAATGGTTAAGTGTGAACCATGGTCAATACATGGTGTCTAACTAGCTGTGTGAATGTCCAGATCGTGTTACTAGTTCAAGGGGATGTGTGATTCTTTCTTGGAGTAGAACCGATGCCTTGTGAGGTTTCACAAGTAGTTGAGATGATCATAGGACCGTATTGTTTTCTGTGATTGAGAATGTGAATGGTACAAGGTACCGGGTGGTCAAAACGTGGTATCTAACTGGCTGTGTGAATGTCCGGATCGAGTTGCTAATTCAAGGGGATGTGTGATTCTCGCTTGGAGAAAAACCGATGCCTTGTGAGGCTTCAAAAGTAGTTGAGATGATCATAGGACCGAACTGTTTATGTGCTTGCTTGTTAAGTGATCATATAGTATGAGTGCAGTTCGAGAGTTGAGATCAAAGAGAACAAGAGATTGGGAGTCAAGTGTCCTCGCCAAATACTTGTATGATGATCAAGAAACTTCTTGGAGGTATTCATGACTATGATGAATCGGTTTTGGTTATAAGATTAAGTTGGTATGTGTGAGTACCGAGGCTGATATGATGTCTAGCTAGACTGATTGGAAATCCGGATCGTGTTTCTGGCTTGGGGAATGTGGGATTCTCGCCGAAGCAGGACCGAGGCTTATAAAAGGATTGTCCGGTAGTTTAGGGAAGATGATCATGCCGTGTGACATGTGAAGGCTTGTAAGCCGTGGTTGTTCTGGCGTCCTTAGGAATCTGTGGATTTGCTAAAGCGTGACTAATGTGAGTTGCAGTCTTGGAAATCAAGTGGGTTTGCTAGGACGTGTCTGTTTCTGAGAGGTGTTATTGGAAACCAAGTGGGTTTGCCAATACTTATGAGATTCGTTATTGGAACCAAGAGGGTTGGCCAAGACGGATGTTTCTGAGATGCATTTTGGAAACCGTGGGTTTGCTAATGCATTATTGAGGATAAGGCGACTTTGGAAACCATAAAGTTTGCCAAAGCGAGATTGTGGTAGCATCTATGTGAATCAGTGGATTCGCTAATGAGTGATGTGATACTGTGTGTATAACTGATATGTGACGTGACTGTGCTGGTGGGAACTAAGGGAGTTTTCCATCATGTGATTAGTAATGTGGTGTGATTGTACTAATTGATTGGCTAGTGTGCCGAGTACTTGCTTGGGAAGCAACGTACTAACCGATGGGCTAGTGAGCCGAGTACTTACAGATTAAGGCAAGGTACTAACTGGAAATACAAGTGAGGGCATGTAATGGCCGTGTGACTGATGGCCTGGTGTGCCAAGTACTGGCTATGTCATTGATCCCTTTGTAAGAGGGTCTAGAAGGGACATGATTGTGGTACACTGATTGCAAGATGACTGTTAAGTAACCTATGCTGGTTGCAAGAGGACTGTTGAGTAATCTAGGATTACGTGGGTGGGAACTGAGGAGTTCAGCACCGC